TCTCTCTTCCTTCCTTCCCCCATCTATTTGCTTTCTTTGTTTCTCCCTCTGTTTCCGCCTGCCTTGCTCCCTCCCCCATCTATTTGCTTTCCTTCCACCTTTTTCTCTTTTTCTCTTTCTTCCTTCCCCCATCTATTTGCTTTCTTTCCACCTTTTTCTCTTTTTCTTTTTCTCTCTTCTTTCCTGCCCCCATCTATCTGCTTTCTTTGTTTCTCTCTCTCTGTTTCCCTATTCCTTGCTCCCTCCCCAATCTATTTGCTTTCTTTCCACCTTTTTCTCTTTTTCTCTTTCTTCCTTCTCCCATCTATCTGCTTTCTTTGTTACTCTCTCTCTCTCTGTGTTTCCCCCTTCCTTGCTCCGTCCCCCATCTATTTGCTTTCTTTCCACCTTTTTCTCTCTTCCTTCCTTCCCCCATCTACTTGCTTTCTTTGTTTCTCTCTCTCTTTCCACCTCTCTTTCTCTCTCAGACAAATAGATATCATTGGACAAATAAATATCGTTATCAATATCTGGTTTTGCCCCTTTTGTTTTCATTTTTGCAGTCTCGTTTAACGTTAATAAAAACAAATTTTCATATTTTCCAATAAAAACACGTGTGTGATCTTTGTTCATGTCTTGCAGCTCTCAAACATCTGACATTTATTCTATGTGGCTCTTACGTTAAGGAAGTTTGGCCACCCGTGTTGTACAGTTTGCTGAAACTTTTTTTATATAAAAGATCCCTGACCAGGATAGACCAGGCTAGCCTGATCTCATCCGATCTTGGCTGCTAAGCAGGGTCGGCCTTGGTCAGTATTTGGATGGGAGACCACCAAGAAATGCCAGGGTTGCTATGTCGAGGCAGGCAATGGCAAACCACCTCTGGACATCTCGTGCCTTGAAAACCCCACCAGGGGTCACCAGGGGACAGCTGTGGCTTGACAGAAAGAAAAAGAAAAGCTTGCTGAAGCTAGGACCCTACCGTGTGATTTTTGCCCCGTTTAAGGTGTCCCGTTAGCATTTACGCTTTGCTTCAATTCTGTTTTTGGGCTTCTGGTTGGTTCCGCGACCCTAAAGGTGCCACTGGACTTAGACCTTGTTCTCCTGATTCCTATTGCATTGTCCGTTGGATGTCCCATCCTGTCGACTGTATCAACTCACTGTGTTGTAATCCACCTGGAGTCCCAGTGAGAAAGTCGGACTACAAGCGAAGTGAATAAGAAAGAGCTGTACTTCTTTTCCCTTTTTTTTGCCATCAAGTCAAGCTGACATCTGGCATCCCCTAGTGGAGCTTGAAGGCAAGGGACGTTCAGAGGTGGCTTGCCATCGCTTGTCTCTGTGTTACGACTCTGGTATTCCTTGGAGGTTTCCCGTCCAAATACTAGCCAGGGCCAGCCTTGCTTAGCTTTGGACATCTGACTTGCCTGGGCTGTCCAGGTCAGGGCAACACCTGTCATTCTTGTATAACTAAAATGTGCCAAGGAGGAAGGGTTAAACTGGCTCTCATTCTGCACGGTGGGGCTCTGTCCAATCATTTCCTGTAAAAAAAAAAGAACTGGGGAGATCCATTTACAGATGGATCCAATCTCCCTGCTTATTCGGCATAGATAACAAGATCCACGCCCCGATGGGATTGAGGTGCTGACCAATCTTATATTCTGCTACAAGCGTAGCACAGATGTCTTCCGAATCGTCGCAGGTTTGCAGATTTCCTGAGCACGTGATGTCTTTAGATTTACACACCTCGCAGATCAGTGAGTGTCCTGGAAAACAAGAAAAAAATATTCCCCATTTGCATCAATATTGTCTATACTTTTCCAAATTCAGTACAATCTGAACTTAACAGGGCCACTTTAGTGGTGGTGACGAAACCTGCGGCAGTGATTGGCTCAACTGCCTGACTGTCACACAGGGGCTAGGCAGACAGAAGGGCCTCTGACTCTCATTGGCTCAACTACTATCCTTGTAAAGGTTGGCGACAGTCAGATTTGTACCTGTTTAATCACAGACGTTACCCCCCACCCCCAGAATCATGGGAACTGTAGTTTGGTGAGGATGCTGAGAATCCTCTGTTAGGAAATTCTTTACCCTCAGAGAACTACAGTTCCCAGGGTAGCATCTTGTAGCCATTGGCGCAGTAGTGACAGAAGGGCTATGTCAATAGCAGCCAAAAGGTGGCAGTGCTGCTTTCCATGAAACAAGTTTTTCCAGAGAATCAAGACTCCTTTTTGAGTCCTTCACATTTGAATGAACCTTCTCAAGAGATTTCCTCATCTGACCTACTTCAAGCGCTCTCAAACCCATCCTCTCTCTCCCATCTCGGAGTCAGACCCCGTTCACACCGAGGCTAGAGACTAAACCCCCATAGTCTTTCCCCCCTCCCAAACCAGAGCATTGTGTGTGATGTTGCTGACACAATGATGTCCCGCCCACCTAGGCTTCCCAAGTCCCCCCGGGGGGCAGGGAAACCCCCGCCCCAGAGGCCCATTCCCCGCCGCTGCCGGATCGGGCCCCGGGGGGAACTCCTCTTCAACATGCGCATCACCCGGAAGTGACGCGACCATACCAGGAACGCTGGGGGTGGGGCCACGGCCATCCGAGGGAAAACTCTATGGTTTCTCTCAACAGACACTGGCCGGGAGCCCACTGCTCCCGGCTAAAATAGACTTGGCAACTCTACGCCCACCCCCAGAACACTACCCAATCCCCCCCCCCGCAGTGACAGCGAGGGGACCTCACAATCCTAGGTCAGGCTGAGAGTGCATAACCAGCCCAAGGGCACCCAGGGAGCTTCCATGGCAGAGAGGGGATTCCAAGCTGGGTCACCCAGATCATAATCTGATGTGCTCTAACCACTCAGCTGTGCAACTTCTGACTGCATTCTATGGTGACAAAAACACCTTCGTGGAGATGCGAGAATCTCGCACCCTCGGAATCGAAATGCAATTCTGAAATTTGATTTTGGGGGGGATGCTTTGTAAGAATTTGGAAGCGAAAAAGGTATCAGAACTGCACATTTGATTGCGCCTGGCTGAGCTGCCGTCCTCCAGGGCTGGTCAGTCTCAGATCAAGGACATTGGGCTTATCTCTTCTGATTATCCCCAGCCGTCATGACCTCTGGGTACATGAAGCTTCATTTGCTTGGCTTGATCTCCCACGGCTGGTGTTTTTCCCACCGTCACCCTCCCTGGGCCGCCTTTTGTGCTACCAAAACTTCGATTCAAGGCTCCTGGGGTGCCCTCTTTGGTTTGTAAAACCCTCTGTCAAGCTGTCAGTACACTGGTGAAGTCAGCGAGAGAGAGAGATTAATCATAATTCCATATAATGGAAGATATTATAATAACTTTAACATAATCCCCCCTGTTAAACAGCCGTCGCCTTCAGAACCAGTCCGATAAAGATCTGCTGCTATTTACACTCCACCCTTGGACCTGCTAGGCCGCTTCTGTGACCTGCCAGATGTTACCAGTCCTCCGCCCCAAACCCACAAGAGTTTGCTCTGTTGCTGTCATAAGTCGAATCTGCATCTGTCTTTCCCACTGGTGTTCCAGCCTTCTGCCTTTGTCTTCAAAAAAAAGCTGTCTACATTTGGTTTCGTTTTCACACCTCAACCGTGTTACCCTACAACTTGCATGTCTGCATATGTTTATCGCCCTCTCGTGGCGGTGCCACTGTCACTGTGCCTCTGCACTGCTTCGAAAGAATCATCTCCAAACAACGTTCAAACAAGCATAGAGAAAGGCGGTGCTGCAGCAGCACAAAACTGATTTAAAAATGCAAATGCAGATTCGACCATTACCTAACAGGCCTCACACTGCAATGGAGGCTGCCTAGTTGTGCCAAGTTCCACTCTGCCTCGACTCTTCAAGTCTTTGAGAGAAAGCATACAGAGAGGAAGCTGGATAAGAGAAGATTTCACTGTGGGCGAGCATCATGCAGAGAGACCGCCTGCCGAGATGAACGCTGAGCAGGAAAGGATCCACTGAGCCTACACGTATTCTGCTCCAAAGAAGCCTTATTAAACAGGTGTTGGAGTGAGCCTGTCTGCAGATCCGTGACCTTTCTGCTCTTTGTCTACAATCCAACATTAGTCCGAGACAGACACAAAGAAGATTTCCTGTTTGTAAGAACGTTAGATTATTGGGCTCTGCTTGTCGACATGGTGGAATCATTGAATGATGTTCATTCTTGTATGAATGTACAGAAACATATTAGTATTCGTATTGATTTTTAGCCAGTTTGGTATGGTGGTTAAGTGCGCAGACTCTAATCTGGGAGAACCGGGTTTGATTCCCCATTCCTCCACTTGCACCTGGCTGGATGACCTTGGGCAAGCCGTAGTTCTGATAAGAGCTGTTCTTGAAAAAGAGCAGTTCTCAAAAGAGCTCTCTCAACCCCACCTACCTCACAGGGTGTCTGTTGTGGGGAGGGGGAGGGAGAGCCGCTCTGAGACACCTTTGGGTAGTGAAGGGTGGGGTATACATCCAATCTCTTCTCTTCTTCTTAAAAAATCTATAAAAGAGTGATATTCCCTTAGTAAATGTATCATGGTTCCCATTGACTATTTTCTACTCCACTCCTGACCCATCAGGTTCCTAGGTCCACCCATGGAAGGGTTGCCAGCCTCTAGGCAGTGGCACCTGGGGGGGGGGTCAGTGTTCCCTCTAAGCTGAGTGAGTGTGAGCTAGCTGACAGTTTTTTAGCCTCCGGCTCACACAATTTTGTCTCAGCTCGGGAAGGAGGGCAGTCCAGAGCAAACTAATTGATGCTGTAGCCAAGCCGCTCGCTCACAACTTTAATGCCGGTAGCTCACAAAGTAGACTTTTTGCTCACATGACTCCACAGCTTAGAGGGACCGTTGCTGGGGATCTCCCGTTATTCCAACTGACCTCCAGACAAAATGGCTGCTTGGGTCAAAAGACGCAAAGGACGTAGAGGCGCAGGCGCGGCGGAGCCAAATGGACAGAGCCGGAGCCGCGCTGACGCGAACCGCGCGCCAGATGGGTCGGCCGAATACAGCCGAAGCCGAAGACCACCGGAAGGAGAAGAAGAGGAGCCAAACCGAAAGCCGAACCGACAATAAGCCGAACCGGGAATATTCCTCCGAGCCCCGAAACACATTGCAGCATTTATTTGTTTTTTGCAGACATCAGAGAATCCAGAAGGGGGGCCTTGGATCCAGAAGGATGCAGTGTTTTGGAAACTGCCAGGAGTCTAAGACAAGAGTCTAAGAATCTTTGTGCGTGTGATTGTGTCCTGAGACATCTCCACTTTCTCGAAACAAAACAAACGCAGCTATAACCGCAATGACATTTCCCTCCCGAATATTCCTCCGAGCCCCGAAACACATTGCAGCATTTATTTGTTTTTTGCAGACATCAGAGAATCCAGAAGGGGGGCCTTGGATCCAGAAGGATGCAGTGTTTTGGAAACTGCCAGGAGTCTAAGACAAGAGTCTAAGAATCTTTGTGCGTGTGATTGTGTCCTGAGACATCTCCACTTTCTCGAAACAAAACAAACGCAGCTATAACCGCAATGACATTTCCCTCCCGAATATTCCTCCGAGCCCCGAAACACATTGCAGCATTTATTTGTTTTTTGCAGACATCAGAGAATCCAGAAGGGGGGCCTTGGATCCAGAAGGATGCAGTGTTTTGGAAACTGCCAGGAGTCTAAGACAAGAGTCTAAGAATCTTTGTGCGTGTGATTGTGTCCTGAGACATCTCCACTTTCTCGAAACAAAACAAACGCAGCTATAACCGCAATGACATTTCCCTCCCGAATATTCCTCCGAGCCCCGAAACACATTGCAGCATTTATTTGTTTTTTGCAGACATCAGAGAATCCAGAAGGGGGGCCTTGGATCCAGAAGGATGCAGTGTTTTGGAAACTGCCAGGAGTCTAAGACAAGAGTCTAAGAATCTTTGTGCGTGTGATTGTGTCCTGAGACATCTCCACTTTCTCGAAACAAAACAAACGCAGCTATAACCGCAATGACATTTCCCTCCCGAATATTCCTCCGAGCCCCGAAACACATTGCAGCATTTATTTGTTTTTTGCAGACATCAGAGAATCCAGAAGGGGGGCCTTGGATCCAGAAGGATGCAGTGTTTTGGAAACTGCCAGGAGTCTAAGACAAGAGTCTAAGAATCTTTGTGCGTGTGATTGTGTCCTGAGACATCTCCACTTTCTCGAAACAAAACAAACGCAGCTATAACCGCAATGACATTTCCCTCCCGAATATTCCTCCGAGCCCCGAAACACATTGCAGCATTTATTTGTTTTTTGCAGACATCAGAGAATCCAGAAGGGGGGCCTTGGATCCAGAAGGATGCAGTGTTTTGGAAACTGCCAGGAGTCTAAGACAAGAGTCTAAGAATCTTTGTGCGTGTGATTGTGTCCTGAGACATCTCCACTTTCTCGAAACAAAACAAACGCAGCTATAACCGCAATGACATTTCCCTCCCGAATATTCCTCCGAGCCCCGAAACACATTGCAGCATTTATTTGTTTTTTGCAGACATCAGAGAATCCAGAAGGGGGGCCTTGGATCCAGAAGGATGCAGTGTTTTGGAAACTGCCAGGAGTCTAAGACAAGAGTCTAAGAATCTTTGTGCGTGTGATTGTGTCCTGAGACATCTCCACTTTCTCGAAACAAAACAAACGCAGCTATAACCGCAATGACATTTCCCTCCCGAATATTCCTCCGAGCCCCGAAACACATTGCAGCATTTATTTGTTTTTTGCAGACATCAGAGAATCCAGAAGGGGGGCCTTGGATCCAGAAGGATGCAGTGTTTTGGAAACTGCCAGGAGTCTAAGACAAGAGTCTAAGAATCTTTGTGCGTGTGATTGTGTCCTGAGACATCTCCACTTTCTCGAAACAAAACAAACGCAGCTATAACCGCAATGACATTTCCCTCCCGAATATTCCTCCGAGCCCCGAAACACATTGCAGCATTTATTTGTTTTTTGCAGACATCAGAGAATCCAGAAGGGGGGCCTTGGATCCAGAAGGATGCAGTGTTTTGGAAACTGCCAGGAGTCTAAGACAAGAGTCTAAGAATCTTTGTGCGTGTGATTGTGTCCTGAGACATCTCCACTTTCTCGAAACAAAACAAACGCAGCTATAACCGCAATGACATTTCCCTCCCGAATATTCCTCCGAGCCCCGAAACACATTGCAGCATTTATTTGTTTTTTGCAGACATCAGAGAATCCAGAAGGGGGGCCTTGGATCCAGAAGGATGCAGTGTTTTGGAAACTGCCAGGAGTCTAAGACAAGAGTCTAAGAATCTTTGTGCGTGTGATTGTGTCCTGAGACATCTCCACTTTCTCGAAACAAAACAAACGCAGCTATAACCGCAATGACATTTCCCTCCCGAATATTCCTCCGAGCCCCGAAACACATTGCAGCATTTATTTGTTTTTTGCAGACATCAGAGAATCCAGAAGGGGGGCCTTGGATCCAGAAGGATGCAGTGTTTTGGAAACTGCCAGGAGTCTAAGACAAGAGTCTAAGAATCTTTGTGCGTGTGATTGTGTCCTGAGACATCTCCACTTTCTCGAAACAAAACAAACGCAGCTATAACCGCAATGACATTTCCCTCCCGAATATTCCTCCGAGCCCCGAAACACATTGCAGCATTTATTTGTTTTTTGCAGACATCAGAGAATCCAGAAGGGGGGCCTTGGATCCAGAAGGATGCAGTGTTTTGGAAACTGCCAGGAGTCTAAGACAAGAGTCTAAGAATCTTTGTGCGTGTGATTGTGTCCTGAGACATCTCCACTTTCTCGAAACAAAACAAACGCAGCTATAACCGCAATGACATTTCCCTCCCGAATATTCCTCCGAGCCCCGAAACACATTGCAGCATTTATTTGTTTTTTGCAGACATCAGAGAATCCAGAAGGGGGGCCTTGGATCCAGAAGGATGCAGTGTTTTGGAAACTGCCAGGAGTCTAAGACAAGAGTCTAAGAATCTTTGTGCGTGTGATTGTGTCCTGAGACATCTCCACTTTCTCGAAACAAAACAAACGCAGCTATAACCGCAATGACATTTCCCTCCCGAATATTCCTCCGAGCCCCGAAACACATTGCAGCATTTATTTGTTTTTTGCAGACATCAGAGAATCCAGAAGGGGGGCCTTGGATCCAGAAGGATGCAGTGTTTTGGAAACTGCCAGGAGTCTAAGACAAGAGTCTAAGAATCTTTGTGCGTGTGATTGTGTCCTGAGACATCTCCACTTTCTCGAAACAAAACAAACGCAGCTATAACCGCAATGACATTTCCCTCCCGAATATTCCTCCGAGCCCCGAAACACATTGCAGCATTTATTTGTTTTTTGCAGACATCAGAGAATCCAGAAGGGGGGCCTTGGATCCAGAAGGATGCAGTGTTTTGGAAACTGCCAGGAGTCTAAGACAAGAGTCTAAGAATCTTTGTGCGTGTGATTGTGTCCTGAGACATCTCCACTTTCTCGAAACAAAACAAACGCAGCTATAACCGCAATGACATTTCCCTCCCGAATATTCCTCCGAGCCCCGAAACACATTGCAGCATTTATTTGTTTTTTGCAGACATCAGAGAATCCAGAAGGGGGGCCTTGGATCCAGAAGGATGCAGTGTTTTGGAAACTGCCAGGAGTCTAAGACAAGAGTCTAAGAATCTTTGTGCGTGTGATTGTGTCCTGAGACATCTCCACTTTCTCGAAACAAAACAAACGCAGCTATAACCGCAATGACATTTCCCTCCCGAATATTCCTCCGAGCCCCGAAACACATTGCAGCATTTATTTGTTTTTTGCAGACATCAGAGAATCCAGAAGGGGGGCCTTGGATCCAGAAGGATGCAGTGTTTTGGAAACTGCCAGGAGTCTAAGACAAGAGTCTAAGAATCTTTGTGCGTGTGATTGTGTCCTGAGACATCTCCACTTTCTCGAAACAAAACAAACGCAGCTATAACCGCAATGACATTTCCCTCCCGAATATTCCTCCGAGCCCCGAAACACATTGCAGCATTTATTTGTTTTTTGCAGACATCAGAGAATCCAGAAGGGGGGCCTTGGATCCAGAAGGATGCAGTGTTTTGGAAACTGCCAGGAGTCTAAGACAAGAGTCTAAGAATCTTTGTGCGTGTGATTGTGTCCTGAGACATCTCCACTTTCTCGAAACAAAACAAACGCAGCTATAACCGCAATGACATTTCCCTCCCGAATATTCCTCCGAGCCCCGAAACACATTGCAGCATTTATTTGTTTTTTGCAGACATCAGAGAATCCAGAAGGGGGGCCTTGGATCCAGAAGGATGCAGTGTTTTGGAAACTGCCAGGAGTCTAAGACAAGAGTCTAAGAATCTTTGTGCGTGTGATTGTGTCCTGAGACATCTCCACTTTCTCGAAACAAAACAAACGCAGCTATAACCGCAATGAAATTTCCCTCCCTAATATTCCTCCGAGCCCCGAAACACATTGCAGCATTTATTTGTTTTTTGCAGACATCAGAGAATCCAGAAGGGGGGCCTTGGATCCAGAAGGATGCAGTGTTTTGGAAACTGCCAGGAGTCTAAGACAAGAGTCTAAGAATCTTTGTGCGTGTGATTGTGTCCTGAGACATCTCCACTTTCTCGAAACAAAACAAACGCAGCTATAACCGCAATGAAATTTCCCTCCCTAATATTCCTCCGAGCCCCGAAACACATTGCAGCATTTATTTGTTTTTTGCAGACATCAGAGAATCCAGAAGGGGGGCCTTGGATCCAGAAGGATGCAGTGTTTTGGAAACTGCCAGGAGTCTAAGACAAGAGTCTAAGAATCTTTGTGCGTGTGATTGTGTCCTGAGACATCTCCACTTTCTCGAAACAAAACAAACGCAGCTATAACCGCAATGAAATTTCCCTCCCTAATATTCCTCCGAGCCCCGAAACACATTGCAGCATTTATTTGTTTTTTGCAGACATCAGAGAATCCAGAAGGGGGGCCTTGGATCCAGAAGGATGCAGTGTTTTGGAAGCTGCCAGGAGTCTAAGACAAAAGTCTAAGAATCTTTGTGCGTGTGATTGTGTCCTGAGACATCTCCGCTTTCTCGAAACAAACCAAACGCAGCGATAGCCGCAATGAAATTTCCCTCCCAAATATTCCTCCGAGCCCCGAAACACTTTGCAGCATTTTTTTTTTGCAGACCTCAGAGGATCCAAAGACGGGATTTGCAGCAATGAGGACGTCCACCCCTCAAACCTTTCCCTCGCACGGCTCCTCCCTTCATTCTACACGATTCCCAGGTGATTGCACAGCTCACAAACTTACCTGCAGTGAAGAGAGCAGAGAGGAGGCAGAAGAGAACGAACCCAGGCATGGTGTTTGGGGAACAGGTGCCCATGATGGAGCCAGCTCCTTGGATGCATCGGGTTTCGTGAGGGAGCGCGGCTGTCTCAGGAAGGCTACTGAGGGTGGTGGGAGTGGTCGGAATGGGGAGAGATGTGGCAAGCCAGTCCTGCACGGCTAGGTAACACTCTTGCACAAGGCGAGTGGGGAAAGCGACCAGGCGCTCTGCAGAGATCGAGATTTCACTAACAGGTCGGGTCGGCTGAACACTGCTTGGCGCCTGAGCCAGCCGAGGACTGACACTGAGAGAATAATCTGCCCTTCCCTTTCACCAGGTATTGTTGCAGGCAAGGCATGCCCCGGAGCATGAGCCTTGGCACGAGCCAGTGGGTGAGAGGTGAAAGAGTCTGGGCCTCTGGCGCTTACCCTGGAGCTTGCCATCCGACAGATTCCATCAGTAAGAGATAATATTGCCATCTGCAACAAAAAGTGCATCTTGGTAGGAGGAATACCAGCTGTGCAGGGGGAGGCCTCTTCGTAAGCTGACGTTTGGAAGGGAAGGTCTGAGCGCTGTCCCCTGCCTTGGCCTCCAGGCTGTGTTACAAGATTCTGCACCCATCTGTTTCCTTGCAGTTTTTCCACAGCTACGTTGGGAGGTTAATCGCCCTCTACACTGCATGCCGCCTTCACTTTCTTCGTTCATTGGGCTTTATGGTACCTTCTGCATAGATTTATGGCCCTTCAGAGGTGACTTCGCAGTCAGTACAGCATTGCTTCAGGTATCTGAATGTGGTAATGAGTGGCATCTTTTCTTTTCTCCACTTCTGATTCAGAGAGAACAATAAGCAGACAACTTGATACGGCTTCATTGATCTCCGTCAGTTCCCCCGCCCCTATTTCCCCCTCTATATTTATCACCTTGCCATGAATTACTTGGCTCAGGCGGCCAATGACCACTGAGGCAAGTACTGACAAAGGAAAATCTGCATACCAATCCAGGAGCATGCAATGAAAACAAAATAGATGACAAGCTGACACTAGCCAGTGCAGAAACCGGGATCCGAGGCAAAATGCAATGAAAACAGATATTCCGAGGCAAGGGGGAACCAGGTCGAGTGCTGATAAAATGTGGAGCGAATGCCAGGTGCAGAATGGACCTCAGACAGCTAGATAGTAAGACTAAGCTTTCTTTCTGTGTTTACTCTTCTGCCACTGTCCCCTTTGATATGTAGAATGCTATTCTCAGATATCAGCTTCCTTCCATTCATCCTCTCCCACAACACACTTCTCCTTGCACACACCAAGAGGGAGAACACACTGTCTCCAGCTTGGCACCACGATGCAGGTGGCCCTCTCGCCATCTGCATCCAACCATAGTAAGTTAGACTAGTAATCTATCCCTATCTCTAAGCTTTGCTATCTAGAACGTAGTTCCGAAATAAAGAGTCATATTAGTCTTCAAACTGAAAGGTGGCTCGGTGTAACTTTGTAAGTTGTCTTGGATACCTGGAAGAAAAGACTTAAAGCACTCTGCTCAACTAATCAATGGTAACTGGACTAACTATATACCAGTTAACCCAACACTGACTCACCAATTAATGCTCCGAGGAACAGTAATGTCTCTTAACTCTCTTTCTTCGCCTCTTTTTAGTTTTCTGACAGGCATGGGTCTTTGGTAGGACTGCCAATTGCATGCTGGGAGATTCCTGGAGATTTGGGGGAGGCAGAGCTTGGTGAGGGTGTCTGTAAACTGCCGTTTGTATTCTGTGTATGCTCTGTGTAACCTGCCTGCTGTATGATGGGAGAGGGTTTAGCTCTGTTGCTCTGTTCTCCTCTTCCCTGTGCACTTTATCTCTTGTTTTGACCTTGGAAGGTTTTTGCTGCCTTTGTAGTAACTAAGACTGTGAGAACCGTTGATGGGGCCATTCCCAATCTGGCTGGTGTGAACCAAGCAGCTGAAAGGCTATCTCCTGCCTTGGTTTTCTCCCGCTCGAATTTCTGCTGAGCACGAACTGTATTCATTGACTTAACCTTTTTTTGAACTGTCTATATCTGTACATGCTTGGCTTTGAGTTTCATTCCTGACAATGACCATGAAAGTGTATCAATAGTGACTTGTATTAAAGCAACCTATTCTTATGAATCGTTGTGGGCTGCAACTGCTCTATTGAACCTGACAGAGGGCTGGGTTTGAGGAAGGAAAAGAGCTCAACAAAGTATAAAGCCATAGAGTCCACCCTCCAAAGCATCCATTTTTCTCCAGGGGAACTGATCTCTGTAGTCTGGAGATGAGCTGTAATTCCAGGGGATCCCCAGGCCCCATGTGCAGGTTGGCAACCCTAGACTTTGGGAGCTAGGTCTCAAGTGGTAGGTTTCTGGCAAGCAGAGCCAGAAATCAGATTTCTCTCCTGAATGAAGTCTTGGCCGAGGGATCAGATAGATCATCCACAGCTGGAGTATTCTGAGGAAATACATCAGTTTCAAATAACTGTGGTCCGGAGGATTTGTCAGGGGGGGGGGGTGTTGATGGTGGTGGCAGTACCCAGGAGAAAACTGAAAAAAAGGGGGGGGAGGCCTCAGCTTCTTATAGAGACCCTGGCAATTCCTAGAGCTACCTGAAAGCAACAAGGTTCTCTCTAGCAACCACCAGAAACTCTATGGTAGGATTACAATAGAGTTCTTACTGACCAACAGATTTTTCAGGATATAAGTTTTCAAGAGTCAAAGCTTATACCCCCCAAAATCATGTTGATCTCCAATGCGCAACTGGATTAAAATCTAACTGTTCGGCCGCCAACCAACAGGGCAACCCTCAGAAATCAATAGAGTTTCTGGGGATTGCAAGAACAACCCATTGTCACTTCCAGGTAGCTCTAGTAATCGCCAGAAACTCTATGGCCAAAATTTCCTGTAAGTAGATAAGGTTGTATTTTTCTTTTTAAGTGTTCTTTCCAGGATGATCACCTCCCCCTTTTGGCCCCAGTTTCTGTCCATCATCCATCTGAGCATCGGCAGGCAAGTGCTGCAATTGCCTGCTAGCAGCCACAGATGACTGTGGTATAGTGATTAGGAGCACAGACTCTAATCTGGAGAACCAGGTTTGATTCCCCACTCCTCTACATGCAGCTGCTGGTGTGACCGTGGGTCAGTCACAATTTATTTCAGAGCTGTTCACTCATAAGCAGTTCTTGGGAGAGCTCTCTCAGCCCCACCTACCTCACATGGTGTCTGTTGTGGGGAGAGGAAGGGAAAGGAGATTGTAAACCGCTCAGAGACTCCTTCGGGTAATGAAGAGTGGGGTTAAAATCCAATTTCTCTTCTTCTTCTTCATCATCATCATGGAACCTCCATGTTCAGAAGCTGTGTACCCCTGAAAGCCTATTGTTGGGAAGCAACAGCAGGGGAAATCTGAGATTTCTGTGTCCCTATCCATGGGCCTTTCAGGGCATCTGTTTGGCCACTGCGGGAACAGGGTGCTGAACCAAATGGGCCATTGGTTTGATCCAGCACGACTCTTCTTATGTTCCTAGGAGATGTACCCATGGTGCAATCCAAAGTAGAGCATTGACATAGAAGGGTGCAACTCTGTTTAGGACTGCACAGGACATGTATCCAGATGAAGCTCTGGGGGTGAAATGCTGGCGCAGCAAGTCAGCTACGAGTTTGATTGGTGGATCCTCTGGATCAAATCTGACCACAGTCGCCAGGCAACTTTAGACAAGCTCCTTGCTCTCATACGGTTGCAAATCTCGATCTGGCAACCGGAGATCTCCCAGAATTATGTCTGATTCCCAGGAGACAGAGGTCAGTTCCCCCGGGAGAAAATGGCTGCTCTGGACAGTGGACTCTGTGCTGAACTCCCTCCTTTCCAGAAACCCATGCTCCGCTTCTAAAATCTTTAGAAATCTCCCTACTGTCAGTCTCCGGACGCTGCTGGGGGTCGCTTGGGCCATGAGACAAGTCCAGGACGGCAATCAGCATGGGCGAACAGGGGTCGGCTCAGATATTGCCGGCAGAGTTACCGCACTCTGTGCCCGACGGTGGTCTTGGAGGATGGGTTCGAGCGGATAAGGGCAGCTGCCCCACATCTCCCTCCTCTCCGTGCCTGCGGTCGGGACCCTGGCGTGACACCCAGCCAGCCAGCCGGCCGACCCTTCCCTCCTCCTCTCCCTGCCAGTCCGCCTCGGAAGGGTCGATGTGAGAGGACTCCGGGGCCTTCTGGGAACTTCACACCGCTTTGCCCGCTTCCTGGCATTGGAACATGGGGGTTCCTCTGGAGTAGTCAGGAAGGGAGGGTCAGAGAAAGGAGCCAGTTTGGTGTAGTGGTTAAGTGCACGGACTCTAATCTGGGAGAACCAGGTTTGATTCCCCACTCCTCCACTTGCAGCCAGCTGGGTGAGCTCGGGTCAGTTACAAGTTCTCTCTGAGCTGTTCTCTCAGGAGCGGTACTCGAAAGAGCTCTCTCAGACCCACCAACCTCACAGGGTGTCTGTTGTGGGGAGGGGGGAGGGAAAGGCATTTTTAAGCCGCTCTGAGACACCTTTGGGTAGTGAAGGGCGGGGGATAAATCCAATCTCTTCTTCTTCTTCTTCTTCTTTTACCTCACAGGGTGTCTGTTGTGGGGAGGGGGAAGGGAAAGGAGTTTGTAAGCTGCTCTGAGACACCTTTGGGTAGTGAAGGGCGGGGGATAAATCCAATCTCTTCTTCTTTTTCCTGACACCTACCCAGAGCTGGCAACGCTACCCTCTCAGCCCAGGGCACTGCCGGATAAGGCTGCCCTACTTTCTTTGTTGTAAAACCTAATGACATACCCGGGGCAACTCCCAAAACGAAATAGTTGGGAAAAGACTTATAGGTCTGGTCTACAAGTGAGGAAGAATCAAAGCAGCAGCAGGGAAGAGGCCCTGACCCGGATAGGCCTGGGCGAGCCCGACCTCGTCAGACCTTGCTAAGCGGGATCGGCCCCAGGCAGAATTTGGTTGGGAAACGACTAAGGAATGCCAGGGCCGCTACGCAGAGGCAGGAGGCAGGCAATGGCAAACCACCTCTGGGCCTCTCTTGCCTTGAAAACCTTTAAGGTTACACAGGGTTCTTTTT